GAACTGCAGGTAATACTGTGGCTGAGGGCGAGGTCTGAGTACTGCTGGTAATACTGTGGCTGTGTCACGTTCGTGTGAAGGATGAGACCAACGCGCAGCGTGTTGAGTGAACATCGTAGACTTTATTAAGTTAAAGCACGACAAAACAATAAACCACGATCAATGAAGTTCCACGGTGCACTCACCGTAACGGAAACAAAAACCCACAACCCCACAGGAAAACATACAGAAATAAATATGGCTCCCAATCAGAGATAACGAGCCGAACAGCTGACACTCGTTACCTCCGATTGGGAGTCATTGAACAAACCTAGAAAAACAACAACCTAGACACCCAACATAGAACACAAACACATAGACTGCACACACCCTGGAATAAACAATAATGAGTCCCAACACCAGGGTGTGACAGTACCCCCCCCTAAAGGCGCGCACTCCGGGCGCACCAGCATACCGTCTAGGGGAGGGTCTGGGTGGGCGTCTGTCCAGGTGGCGGCTCTGGCCCAGGTCGTGGTCCCCACCCCACCATAGTCATTACCCACTTACTTAGCCTCCTACACATTACCACCCCCCAACTACACCCCACTGGGTTAAGGGGCGGCACCGGACTAAGGGGCAGCACCGGACTAAGGACCAGCACCGGGATAAGGGGCAGCACCGGGCTAAGGGGCAGCACCGGGCTAAGGGGCAGCACCGGGCTAAGGACCAGCACCGGGATAAGGACCAGCACCAGGCTAAGGAACAGTACCTGACTAAGTGGCAGCACCGGACTGAGGGGCAGCTCCGGACTGAATGGCGGATCCTGGCTGGCTGGCTCTGGCGGATCCTGCTGCTCATGGCTGGCTGACGGATCTGGCTGCTCATGGCAGGCGGAAGGCTCTGGCTGATCCCGTCTGGCGGAAGGCTCTGGCTGATCCGGTCTGACGGAAGGCTCTGGCTGCTCCTGTCTGGCGGAAGGCTCTGGCTGCTCCTGTCTGACAGAAGGCTCTGGCTGATCCTGTCTGGCGGAAGGCTCTGGCTTATCCTGTCTGGCGGAAGGCTCTGGCTGATCCTGTCTGGCGGAAGGCTCTGGCTGATCCTGTCTGGCGGAGAGCTCTAGCGGCTCCGATCTGGCGGACGGCTCTGAAGGCTCATGGCAGACGGGCGGCTTTGTAGGCTCTGTACAGACGGGTAGTTCAGACGGCGTTGGGCAGACGGACAGTTCAGACGGCGTTGGGCCGACAGGCAGTTCAGGCGCCGTTGGGCAGACGGGCAGTTCAGACCCCGTTGGGCAGACGGACAGTTCAGGCCCCGTTGGACAGACGGCAGACTCTGGCCGTCTGAGGCGCACCGTAGGCCTGTTGCGTGGTGCCGGAACTGGAGGTACCGGGCTGAGGACACGCATCTCAGGGCTAGTGCGGGGAGTCGGAACAGGGCATGCTGGACCCTGGGGACTCCCATAACGCCTAGTGCGGGGAGCCGGAACAGGGCATGCTGGACCCTGGGGACTCACCTCACGCCTAGTGCGGAGAGCAGGAACAGGCCGGGCTGGGCTGGCGACGCGCACCGTATCCCTGGTGCGAGTGGCCGGAACAGGCCGGGCCGGGCTGGCGAAGCGCACCGTATCCCTGGTGCGTGGAGTAGGAACAGGCCGGGCTGGGCTGGCGAAGCGCACCGTATCCCTGGTGCGTGGAGTAGGAACAGGCCGGGCTGGGCTGGCGAAGCGCACCGTATCCCTGGTGCGTGGAGTAGGAACAGGCCGGGCTGAGCTGGCGAAGCGCACCGTATCCCTGGTGCGTGGAGTAGGAACAGGCAGGGCTGAGCTGGCGACGCACACCGTATCCCTGGTGCGAGTGGCCGGAACAGGCCGGGCCGGGCTGGCGAAGCGCACCGTATCCCAGGTGCGTGGAGTAGGAACAGGCCGGTCCATACCGGGAACACACACCACTGGCCTCAACCGAGGATCAGGAACGGGCCGGACCGAACTGGTTACACACCCCAGTACCTCACGCCGTGCCTCAACACCTTCCCTCTCTGCTTTACCCAGTAGCCCCCTTGACCTGGTAGCCCACTGAATCCTACCCTTCTCTGCCTCCGTCAGCCCCCTTAACCTGGCCGCCTTCTGACTCTCCCTTGTGGCAGCCTCCTGCTGCTCCGTCGCCCAAGCCATGTGCCCCCCCCCAAAAACTTTTTGGGGTTGCCTCTCCTTCATCCGACGATGGCCCTTTTGACGCCGTTGCTCCTCTTGCCGTCGCCTCTCCTCTGTCTCGCTCCATGGACGGTGATCCATGCCGTCAAGGATTTCCTCCCACGTCCAGGACCCTTTACCGTCCAAAAGCTCTTCCCAGGTCCAGACCCTCGGCTCCTGGACACGCTGCTTGGTCTTGGGATGGTGGGTTTTTCTGTCACGTTCGTGTGAAGGATGAGACCAACGCGCAGCGTGTTGAGTGAACATCGTAGACTTTATTAAGTTAAAGCACGACAAAACAATAAACCACGATCAATGAAGTTCCACGGTGCACTCACCGTAACGGAAACAAAAACCCACAACCCCACAGGAAAACATACAGAAATAAATATGGCTCCCAATCAGAGATAACGAGCCGAACAGCTGACACTCGTTACCTCCGATTGGGAGTCATTGAACAAACCTAGAAAAACAACAACCTAGACACCCAACATAGAACACAAACACATAGACTGCACACACCCTGGAATAAACAATAATGAGTCCCAACACCAGGGTGTGACAGGCTGGGGGAGGTCTAAGTACTGCTGGTAATACTGTGGCTGAGGGGAGGACTGAGTACTGCTGGTAATACTGTGGCTGAGGGGGAGGTCTGAGTACTGCTGGGATCCTAGCTCATCTGGATTCCTCAGCATGTTTCTCTGGATCTGTACAGCACAGTGATTTGATTTTATGGAGCAAGGTTAGCTGATCAATAGAACTCTACAGTACATATACCTCCAGCACACGCTGAGCAGGCCTGGGGAAGCTTAGCTGGAGCTTTACCTTTTCAGTCGTTGCAGTCAATGGTTACATATCTGTTTTGGCTCTCTTGCCAACTCCTATGGTCCTATGGCCATTGTCATGCTAGAATGACCATAGGAGTTGGCAAGACAACACAAAAAGATCTGGGTCCAGGCTAAGTCAATGTTAGGAAGAGTGAGCTAACTTTCTGGTGCCTCATGAGTTGGCCCTGGTTAATAAAGATATGTGTCCAGATTTCTCTATTGAGGCTCATATCAAATGTAAGTGATTTGCTTTTTTAAAAAACATTTTATGGAAGTACAGACTCAGAGCTTCAAAATAAATGGTATATCATACACTGTAGTTGGATAAAACATGGGAAAATTATGCTGCTTTACAAGTTGATAAAGTCGTTACCTATCCCACTTGAGACAAGTAGAAGGAAATGCCTTTAGAAAGTTTGATGAGATTTTCACAATTTCTAGAGTTCTTCTTTGTTTACGCCCAGCAGCAATGTTTTTGAGAGCTGTAACAACACTTTTGCTGTTGTCCAAAGCTATATCTTTCCGAAACCCGATTCTGTTATAGACAGAAGCCTGTGACATGACAGACCAATCAGGACTCATCTCTCGGCATGTCCAACCACCCTATTATCTCAGCCAATTATTTCTCCCTGCATAGCTCAGTGCTTTCTCCACGAAAGTTCACAAAGAACGTCCCTACTGTGAAGTAGGAAATAGCATCAAACGCCTCAGATCCTGTAACCGGTCACATATAATCATAGATATAATCATATATATTATAGAATATAAATATATAATTGCTGATTGGTGCCTTGAGTTAAGACGCATAATTGAAAGTCAAATTCCAGCCGCAGACAGTGAGTCTTTTTCTAATCACAATTTTGTAAAAAAAAATTTAATAGATGGATTTGAAAACCTATTCAGTTGAGTGACCTTGATGAGTGTGATATGGGTTCAGTAAACCATTACTTCAGTCTAGTGTGATTACTGCAATGCACTTTATCAAACAATCCTCAATTATTAAATGGATGAACGGATGCTTCCAAACCTACCGCACAAGAAAAACACAATAGAAAAGATGCCAGTTCTAATGCATCACCTTTAGTGTGAGAGATAAAAGCCGTACAGTCAAGAGAGACAAGGAGAACGGCGGAAAGAAAAACAAGAGAGTCAAACAAGAATTAAGGAGAGAATGAGAGAGATAAAGAAAGGAGAATGGAAGCGGGAGACGGAGAGAGATGGCAGACAGGAGAATAAATATTGGTTGAGATTAATTAACTTTAAAGGTCAGTGCAACATACTGTATAATTCAACACACAATAGATGTGATTGATGTCAGTGCTTCAGCAGCATTCCTACAACGCTCTCACAACATTTTAGGGAGTGTAGGTTCTGTGAACAGGGTTGAGGGTTTTAAGGGGCGTCATCTTTGATAGGATAGAAAACACAACAGAAGGATGTATCTCTAGTGCTTTGTCGTCATTGATCTTACAGGACTGGATAAATGCAGATTAGCAATGTGATGGAAAGGCAACAAACCCTGCCCATTCTCAATTACACTATACTGCTTTTTTACAAAGAAAGGCTGGTATCGAGAGTTATTGTGTATCCCATATCTGGGTGTAAGGTGTCCATTTTGTGTTGTTGGCCCATCTATCGGACATGTTGTACCCTAAGAAGTGAGGCACAAAATGTGGTTATCGGGTACCACACCCCACGCCCCCAATCACCTTCACAGTCCATTTTAACTTCTTTATTACAAATAGTTGCTGACTCTGTCTGGTACACTGATTTCTTTATAGTGTTTTTAATTGATGGAATTGTGGTCCCTTGTAGCTCAGTTGGTAGAGCATGGCGCTTGCAACGCCAGGGTTGTGGGTTCGAGTATGAAAAATGTATGCACTCACTAACTGTAAGTCGCTCTGGATAAGAGCGTTTGCTAAATGACTAAAATGTAAATGAAATGGAACATTGTGTGAAGACTTCTACCCCTGTCCTAACTTGCTCTATGGCGCCCCCCAGTGCTGATGCTGGGCCTGTTCCTCTACTCCTGCTGGAGGAGACACAAGGGCCTGAAGGAGAGCGTCTACCACGTATCAGCCCACCACGGAGAATGGGAGGACATCCGAGAGAACGTGCTCAACTATGACGAGGAGGGCGGAGGGGAGCAGGACCAGGTACAGATAGACACTGAATCCCAAAATAAGCCAGAGTCCCTGGTTACCCCCATAGGCACTTGTGTAGAACAGAAAGGATGGGATCGGTTTAAACTGTATAATAATTGCTTCACCATACCTTCTGATAGGCTGGGTGAAGCATTCACATATACAGGAGTGCCTATAGTGTGTATGAGCTAGGAGATGATTGGGAATTCAAGGAGACACTGGTATTCAGATGGAGGTAGTGAAGCAGGGACAATACAGCTACTGCTGTTTAGACAGGACAGAGACAGTAGAGGAAAAGTATGTCCTTCAACACAGCACAACTACCTATATCTTATAGGTCTATGTAGTGGTTGTATGAGTCAATAGTATGGCTCATAAGACCACTGCAATACAGTAGAGTAGAATACAACTTTATTGATTCCCTTAGGGCAATTAGTATCAAAGCTACAGCTATGCATCAGACACATACCTGTACAACTACTCACACAGGAGAAACCATACAAATCATAGATTAACACAAACTATATAAACGAAGGAAGCATGGGAAGATATTCACAGTTTACATAGTAAGTGTTAGTTTGGTAGCACAGCTAGGGGAGGACTGGTGTTGGAAGATGCTTGGAAATGAACACCAAACTAATGATCTTAGGAGAGTCAGTTAGAGGAAATGATGTGAGTAGATACTACAGATAATGATAGTGGCCTAAAGGCCGTATTAGCATGGGCAGCACCATTGAGGGCTTCCACCATTATAATGTAGTCAACTGGGTGGGACTTCCAACTTCATTGGCTGATCCCTCCTGGTGACCCTGTTGGAGTCATGTCCAACCGGGTCATCAGGAGGGATCAGCCAATCGTGAAGAAGAAAATAGCCTCAATAGCGCTTCCCATGCTGTCACAGACACTATAAATAGCACAGATACAATTACCATTAGTCCATAATGCCTGTATTTGTTTAATTGCGCTGGTAATAGCACTTTTCCCAACTGCAATCAGATAATTAATTACAAGTTTGGCCAATTAATGGGGCTGTTGCTGCCAACGTTGGTGCTTAGGCCGCATGTCTTTTTCTTAGGTAGAAATAAAAAGCATAGCAGACTGGCATTTTTCATAGACAAATATGATTATAAATGCATGTCCTGCTGTTGAGAGTTTTCTATTAGTCTTTATAAACAGCTAATCTCTAATCAACTCTCTCATCTTCATCAGCGCTATCGAGGAGCATCTCGCTCCTCGTCTGCTCATCTCTGTGATCTTGGTCTCCCTCTCGTCTCTCGCGCTGTCTCTTACCGTCCTTCTCCTCTCTCCTATCGCTCGCTCTCGCGAGCGATCCGAGAGCTCTCCAGCGCGCGCAGCACCACTCACTAGTCCATCGATCCGCTCTCCTTCGCGAGAGGCGCGGCTCGTACCTGTCGTGTCTCTCTCTGGTCCTCCTCTCGAGAGAGAGTCTCTCCTCGCTCTAGAGCTCTATATCTCTCCTCTCTTCGCTGTTCTGTAACACCCCAACCCAAACTCTCTAGCTCTCTCTAGATCTCTCTCTCGGTCTCTCTCCTCTCTCCTCTCTCTCTCTCTCTCACTCTCACTCTCACTCTCACTCTCTCTCTCCCTCCAGAATGCCTTCAACATGGTGGAGTTACAGAGGTCTCTGCAGCCCAGCCCAGCTCAGTCACTGAGATACAGCTATCCACAATGCATCATCTCCTACCCTCAGACGACCAAGCCACCGGACCACAAGAATGGGACCAAACCAAAAGGACCAAACGGACCCAAAAACGGCAGCACGGCGATCGCCCTGCGCCTGGCCCACCCTCCGTCAGGGTCGGCCACCCTCCCCTCTCCCCTCGCCATGCGGCGATCGCACAAGTCCCGGTCCTTCTCCAGTCAGGACCTGGCCCGCTACCTGTGTGAGGTCATAAGGGACACGGACCGCCCCCTGTTGGACAACCCTGGCTACATGACCTCACCGCGTCTCCTGTCCAATAGGGGGCAGCATGGTTGGCTGGCTGTGCGCTCACTTAGTTCCCTCAGTGCTGGAGGTCAGGGGTCAGAGGTTAGGATTCAGGGGAGTCAGGAGAGCCTGGAGCGTCAGAGAGCCCAGAGCCCATGGCTGGACAGCCTCAAAGCCCTACGAGCTGTAGTCAGTGAGCTCAGAGTGGACGCTGCTGTAGACTCTGCTGCCGCCAAGAACACAGAGGGACAGAAGGACGAAGTGGAGAGGGAGACCAAGGGGCAGCCCAACTGTGAGAAGAGCGGATGAGACTGGAGTTGTGAAATGTTTCAATCGATTGATCCAAAGATGGTGTTGGGGAAAAACCAAATGAGAACAAATATTTAAGAAATTTACATTTCTGATTTGTAATCCCTTTGGAAAGTATTCCATGGGTGGATTGTGGCAAAAATGTGACACATCTTTGATATTACATATTTTAAGACCAATCTGGAAAAGCAGTCACCATTTTATTGGCAATGCCATGTATATACCCCACAAAAACATATGTAAAAGAAGGCAAAAGTAATCCGGATTTTTAAAAGGGTTCTTTTTTGTTGTTGATCATTATCGTAATATAATTTCTGTGAGAAAAAATAATAATATTTAGTTTGTTTTGATTTAACTCCTTTTAAATAAATTAATATCTTTGATACAGAAATCAGAAGAACATTTAGAAATTGATGTCTGTGATAATAAGCCGATTACTATCTTTGAGGTTCATTTTTGTGATACATTTTTTATTTCATATTTTTACCAACCCATTTTCTTTATCAAAAGCTATGTTGGGTAAATGCATGCCTCTATTCCTCAGCAAGTTAAGTATGTCAATGCAGACTTGTTGTCATGCACCACCTCTTATTTACTGATTCATAATAGCGCCTAAATATTATATGCAATTAAAACCCACTTGTCTAGACTGGAAAGTTTGTGGGTTGAGAACCAGGATCAGTATGTACCAATATCCTGACTATGACTACCTCACTCCCCTGAGTATTGTCTCAAACTCGTCATCAACCATGAGCACACAGGTGCTGTTGACCTGGTTAGAACTCTGAAATTCAGCTGAAAAAGTTGTGAAAATTTTACAAAAAGGTAGCATAGCATCCGACTCATGATGGACAATGTAAGAATCAAGAAAACACACAACCACCACACAACGTTGTGCTCCAAAGGTTTTAAAATGACTCCAATGTCCAACGTGTGACTCTAGCAGTTAGCAACAGGCTACAGTACATTTAAATATGATGAGGATGAGGATGATCATGATCATGATGATGAGTTAATTCCTGCTCTAAACCTTGCTGTCCCTTTTGGATTTCTCTGACATGCAGTTAAAGAGTATGTAGCTCCCGGCAGACTGACTTGAGTTAAATGGTGGTGAAACTGGAGCTTATCATAGGGGAAGGAAGCAGTGCTGCCTTCATAGAAATATAATTACTAGAATGTACCAAGTCCCTTTTGACCGCACCCTCATGGGTAACTCTATTTCTATGTTGCTTTAGTGCTGCTCAGTGCTTGACTTGGACTGAAATAAGTTCTGGTACTCATTTTCAATCAATTTCAATCAATCAATTTTATTTTATATAGCCCTTCTTACATCAGCTAATATCTCGAAGTGCTGTACAGAAACCCAGCCTAAAACCCCAAACAGCTAGTAATGCAGGTGTAGAAGCACGGTGGCTAGGAAAAACTCCCTAGAAAGGCAAAACCTAGGAAGAAACCTAGAGAGGAACCAGGCTATGAGGGGTGGCCAGTCCTCTTCTGGCTGTGCCGGGTGGAGATTATAACAGAACCATGCCAAGATGTTCAAAAATGTTCATAAGTGACAAGCATGGTCAAATAATAATCAGGAATAAATCTCAGTTGGCTTTTCATAGCCGATCATTAGAGTTTAAAACAGCAGGTCTGGGACAGGTAGGGGTTCCATAACCGCAGGCAGAACAGTTTAAACTGGAATAGCAGCAAGGCCAGGCGGACTGGGGATAGCAAGGAGTCACCACGGCCGGTAGTCCCGACGTATGGTCCTAGGGCTCAGGTCTCTCAGTTGGCTTTTCATAGCCGATCATTTAGAGTTGAAAACAGCAGGTCTGGGACAGGTAGGGGTTTCGTAGCCGCAGGCAGAACAGTTGAAACTGGAATAGCAGCAAGGCCAGGCGGACTGGGGGCAGCAGGGTGTCATCATGCCCGGTAGTCCTGACGTATGGTCCTAGGGCTCAGGTTCTCAGAGAGAAAGAGAGAACGAGAGAATTAGAGAGAGCATACTTAAATTCACACAGGACACTGGATAAGACAGGAGAAGTACTCCAGGTATAACCAACTAACCCCAGCCCCCCGACACATAAACTACTGCAGCATAAATACTGGAGGCTGAGACAGGAGCGGTCCGGAGACACTGTGGCCCCATCCGAAGAAACCCCCGGACAGGGCCAAACAGGAAGGATATAACCCCACCCACTCCGCCAAAGCACAGCCCCCGCACCACTAGAGGGATATCCCCAACCACCAACTTACAATCCTGAGACAAGGCCGAGTATAGCCCACAGAGGTCTCCACCACAGCACAAACCAAGGGGGGGGGGGGCGCCAACCCAGACAGGAAGATCACGTCAGTAACTCAACCCACTCAAGTGACGCACCCCTCCCAGGGACGGCATGAAAGAGCACCAGCAGGCCAGTGACTCAGCCCCTGCAACAGGGTTAGAGGCAGAGAACCCCAGTGGAGAGGGGAACCGGCCTGGCAGAGACAGCAAGGGCTGTTCGTTGCTCCAGCCTTTCCGTTCACCTTCACACTCCTGGGCCAGACTACACTCAATCATATGACCTACTGAAGAGATAAGTCTTCAGTAAAGACTTAAAGGTTGAGACCGAGTCTGCGTCTCTCACATGGGTAGGCAGACTGTTCCATAAAAATGGAGATCTATAGGAGAAAGCCCTGCCTCCCGCTGTTTGCTTAGAAATTCTAGGGACAATTAGTCTTGGGTGCAGGTACTGCACCCAAGACTAACAGGTACTGTTTATATTTAGGTGCAGGTGCTCCACAATACTTTTGAGCTAATATTCTATAAGAGGAACAGGAGGAGCTCAAGCAGTAGAAGATCTGAGGTGCGGTACTCAGCTCCGGTGAGATCCTGCCCAAGTCAAGCACTGGTGCTGCTGTTGATAAGTATACCGACCTGCATAAAACAAGTTATACATAACATGAGCTGTAGAGGTCTTACATGTGCCATCTAGACATGGAACACATGCTTATCTATGTCAGTGATGTCACACATAATGGCCTCGTGTTGAAACATGCATAGACCCATAAGCCTTGGAGCCAGAGAAATATAAAAGCATCATTCAGCCGGAAATAGCATCTTCAAGTTCAAACATCCCCAAGACTTATGTAGCTATTTGTAACATAAGCCTTGCTACTGTAACACATTGCAACCTGTATTTCTGTACCAAGCAGTCTTCTGTCTCTATTGTAGTCTTGAATATGCCTGTTACCATATTCCCATCTAGTGGTAACTTACTAGAATCACATTTCCTCATGATTTCTTTCTTCCATGCATGTAGTTCTCCAATTGACCACTACAGGACAGTGCTAGTCCATTAACTAGACAGCCGGGTCAGGAAAGAGCCTGGAACAGTAACAAAATACACTACCATTCAAAAGTTTGGGGTCACTTAGAAATGTCCTTGTTTTCCATGAAAGCATACATGAAATTAGTTTGAATAGGAAATATAGCAAAATGAATAGGAAATGTAGTCATTGACAAGGTTAGAAATAATGATTTTTATTTGAAATAATAATTGTGTCCTTCAAACTTTGCTTTTGTCAAAGAATCCTCCATTTGCAGCAATTACAGCCTTGCAGACCTTTGGCATTCCAGTTGTCAATTTGTTGAGGTAATCTGAAGAGATTTCACCCCATGCTTCCTGAAGCACCTCCCACAAGTTGGAGTGGCTTGATGGGCACTTCTTACGTACCATACGGTCAAGCTGCTCCCACAACAGCTCAATACGGTTGAGATCTGGTGACTGTGCTGGCCACTCCATTATAGACAGAATACCAGCTGACTGCTTCTTCCCTAAATAGAGATTGCATAGTTTGGAGCTGTGCTTTGGGTCATTGTCCTGTTGTAGGAGGAAATTGGCTCCAATCAAGCGCCGTCCACAGGGTATGACATGGCGTTGCAAAATGGAGTGATAGCCTTCCTTCTTCAAGATCCCTTTTACCCTGTACAAATCTCCCACTTTACCACCGCCAAAGCACCCCCAGACCATCATATTGCCTCCACCATGCTTGACAGATGGCATCAAGCACTCCTGCAGCATCTTTTCATTTGGTCTGCGTCTCACAAATGTTCTTCTTTGTGATCCGAACACCTCAAACTTCGATTCGTCTGTCCATAACACTTTTTTTTGGCCAGTCTGAGATATGGCTTTTTCTTTGCAACTCTGCCTAGAAGGTCAGCATCCCGGAGTCGCCTCTTCACTTCACTGTTGATGTTGAGACTGGTGTTTTGCGGGTGCTATTTAATAAAGCTGCCAGTTGAAGACCTGTGAGGCGTCTGTTTCTCAAACTAGACACTCTAATGTATTTGTCCTCTTGCTCAGTTGTGCACCGGGGCCTCCCACTCCTCGTTCTATTCTGGTTCGAGCCAGTTTGCGCTGTTCTGTGAAGGGAGTAGTATACAGCGTTGTACGAGATCTTCCGTTTCTTGGCAATTTCTTGCATGGAATAGCCTTCATTTCTCAGAACAAGAATAGACTGACGAGTTTCAGAAGAAAGTTATTTGTTTCTGGCCAAATTTTGAGCCTGTAATCGAACCCACAATTGCTGATGCTCCAGATACTCAACTAGTCTCAAGAAGGCCAGTTTTATTACTTCTTTAATCAGCACAACAGTTTTCAGCTGTGCTAACATAATTGCAAAAGGGTTTTCTAATGATCAATTAGCCTTTTAAAATGATAAACTTGGATTAGCAAACACAACGTGCCATTGGAACACATGACTGATGGTTGCTGATAATGGGCCTCTGTACGCCTACAGTGAGGGAAAGAAGTATTTGATCCCCTGCTGATTTTGTATGTTTGCCCACTGACAAAGACATGATAAATCTATAATATTAATGGTAGGTTTATTTGAACAGTGAGAGACAAAATAACAAAAAAATTTTTTTAGAAAAATGCATGTCAAAAATGTTATAAATTGATTTGCATTTTAATGAGGGAAATAAGTATTTGACCCCTCTGCAAAACATGACTTAGTACTTGGTGGCA